TAGCTAATTTCAGTATTCTGACACTAAAAAAAGTGTAGTCTGCATTGAAAAACACTTTATTTTTTTATTTATTTCAAAAATTGCAGTGAAGTTTGAACTGTTCTGGACTGCACTACATTAACCATTGGATGGGGGGAGGGCCCCTCCTGCAATATTGGGAACCGCACCCCCATCCAATAGTCCTTATTTTAACTGTAAGACAGGGTTCTTTTATTTATTTATCTAAACTACAATTTCACTAATATGTTTAGCATCCCTAATTTGCTGCTGCTTTTGATTTTAGATGGTATGAATGGTGGGAAAAATCAGGGTTTTTCCAAGCAGATGCAACCAGTACAAAGTCACCATTCACCATTTTAAGTATCAAAAGTGGAGTTGCCTACTTATATGTCTTTTCTTTTGTTGTGTATTATGCATAATAATTTAACCTTAATTTTATAATTTTATTATTTAATTAATTAATTTTCGTGCAATCAATTGTACAGATTCTACCTCCGCCCAATGTGACTGGAGCACTGCACATAGGTCATGCCCTAACCTGCGCCATCCAGGTAACATAGCAGCATTTGCTTAATTGCTTCCTACTTGTTTATTTAGTAAAACCGTTGTTTTGCTTATTGAGATAATACTTATCTTTAACACAGGATGCAATTATTCGTTGGAAAAGAATGTCTGGGTATAATGCATTATGGATTCCTGGGACAGACCATGCTGGAATAGCTACTCAGGTAACATTCTTCAATTCTTCTATATATAATATAAATAGCAAGAGTTAACTTTAGATTTGTTCTTTATTTTAGCTCCTATGGTTTAATCTCAAATATTTTGGATAAATTCTAGAATCAACCTTACCTGTACAAGTGCCATGATGCATGGCATTGAGCACATTACCCTGTGTAATTCATGAACCAATGAGAAGTTGTCCAGTTTCATTTGTGGTGGTGGCTCATATCATATATATATAAGGGATTCTGTTGCACTTGCTTGTCTTTAATTTGTTGGACCAGTAATTTGTAATCACTGATCAGTGCGTTGGACTGAAAGTTTTGATGTGGTACTTCACAGGTAGTTGTAGAGAAAAAGCTGATGCGTGAAAGGCACTTAACCAGGCATGATATTGGTCGTGAAGAATTTGTAAATGAAGTGAGTTTAAGACTCTCGAACCAAATTTGATTCTGTTAGTTTTCCATGTGGCCATGCTTTTTTAACATGCTTGTGGTATTGCTGATGTTGTGGTGAGAAGGTATGGAAGTGGAAGAATGAACATGGTCATACCATATTGAAGCAATTAAGTAGGTTAGGAGCGTCTCTTGATTGGTCCCGTGAGGTAAGTTATAATTTCCAGGTGTTGTTTGTGTTAAAATTAAGAGTAGTAATAGATGGGGTGAAATTTTGGGACCAAATTTTCGTCCCTTTTATCATTATTCTAAAATTAAATACTGCTCATCATTTGGCTGCTGATTTGTGAAAACTTATTTGGGTTTTCACGTACTTATATGTTTGTTATCCTGTCAAGCCTGACTCTTCTGTCTTTTATTTTCTTTCATCTCTCTATTTTTCCAGGCATTTACATTGGATGAAAAAAGGTCAAGGGCTGTCACAGAGGCTTTTGTTCGGTTGTATAAGGAAGATCTGATATATAGGTATGCTTTGCTTTGACACCCTTTTGTGTTATTTATATAGTTTGACTCATCCTAACTGCTGAGAGTATGAATCCTTCATGGCATTTTGAATAACGGTTGTTGCTTTATATTGTTTTCATTCTGTTGCAGTCATTCTTATTTCAGGTTTTATTATTATTACTTATACTTTCAAACTCAGATTAATATGTTGAGAAGGCTAAGTGATGTGAATAACTTCTTAATTTCTTCTTCATGCTTGAATATTTTTTTTTTCTAGGGATGTTCGTCTAGTAAATTGGGACTTTGCATTACGAACTGCTATCTCTGAGATTGAGGTAGGTCCTTTCTTTTAACTAAAGTGCAAATCTCTGACATTGAGTCGTTTACTTTAAAGGTCATCTCCTGCTCAAGTGGAAATCTAATGCAGATAAGGAAAGAAGGAATATATTTATTAGGATTTTGATATGATTATGAATATATAGGAATGAAATGGCAGTATTTACTAGTAGTTTATGTTTATTAGGAGTTGTTATTATCTTTCAATATGGATTCTCATTAAGAATCTAGTTCTGAAGTCTAATTAGGATTTTAGGTTTTCTATTTAAGCATAGGTTGTATTAGGGTTATTTAGAGTTTATGAATTGAATTGAAATTATCTCTAAGAAATCCCTAATTCTGCTATACTCGTCCCACCCCTACCTCTGTTTCTAAGTTCTGTCCTCTCCTTTGCTTCTGTCCTACATCAAAATCTCTTGGCCTTTGCAGGTGGATTATATTGATATCAAAGGAAAGACCTCACTAATGGTGCCTGGCTATGACAAACCAGTGGAGTTTGGAGTTTTGACATTATTTGCTTACCCACTTGAGGGTGAGAATGGTGAGATTGTTGTTGCCACTACGAGGGTGGAAACAATGCTTGGTGATACAGCCATTGCTATTCATCCTGATGACAAGAGGTACAGCCATCTGAATGGTAAATTTGTAATTCATCCATTCAATGGGCATAAACTCCCCATTATTTGTGATGCAATACTTGTTGATCCAAACTTTGGAACCGGTGCTGTTAAGGTAAGTCTTTTACTCATTCTTTCTGATTTTCTTCTACAATCTGTCATTTTCCGGCGGTAACTTCCTTTACTGTTTTGCAGATTAGCCCAGCCCATGATCCTAAAGATTTTGAAGTTAGGAAACGTCATAATTTGGGATTCATTAACATTTTCACTGATGATGGCAAAATAGATAGCAGTGGTGGCGCAGAGTTTGTAGGAATGCCACGATTTAAGTGCCGTGAGGCTGTGATTGAAGCATTGCAGAAGAAGGTATTTGATTCTATCGATATATTTGAGAAAATTTATAATTGAGTTTGAGGCGGACTATGATGAGGTCAGGTGTCCTTCTTATCTTTAGGGATTCTATAGAGGTGCTAAGAACATTGAGATGCGTCTTGGAATTTGTTCAAGAAGCCATGATGTTGTGGAGCCAATGGCAAAGCCCCAGTGGTACATTAACTGCAGTAAGATGGCAAAGCAGGCTCTTGATGCAGCTATGGATGATAAAAATAGGAAGCTGGAGTTCATTCCAAGACAATATACTGCCGAATGGAAAAGGTGGTAATGACTTCATTACTGCTAATGAATAATGAATTTCAGTTAATGCATTAACATTAATGAACCTTAAGTTCTTACTTGCCTCTCTTTGTTGTCATATAGTTTAATCTTTTGTCATAATTCCTGATTATACTCCACTAATGGTTTGCCTTCAATACTTGATATTACAGATGGCTTGATAACCCACGTGATTGGTGCATCTCAAGGCAGCTATGGTGGGGTCACCAGGTTCCTGCATGGTGCATTAAACTAGAAGACAATGAATTGAAGGAACTTGGAACAGATAATGACCACTGGATAGTTGCTAGAGATGAGAAAGAAGCTTTAGCAGAAGCAAACCAAAGATTTTCTGGGAAGAAATATGAGATCTTTCAAGATCCAGATGTGCTAGACACCTGGTTTTCATCTGGCCTTTTTCCTTTATCTATCCTGGGATGGCCTGATGATACCAATGATTTAAAGACCTTCTACCCAACATCAGTCCTTGAAACTGGACATGACATTCTCTTCTTCTGGGTGGCTAGAATGGTTATGTTAGGAATTAAACTGGGAGGTGATGTGCCCTTTACAAAGGTGGGAATATTTTTCCTACACTGTATGTAAACCTTGTCATTGTTGGTTGTTTACTTGCAAGGGTTTCTATAGTTTTCTTATCTGTCAATGAATTTAATGTTATGCAGGTTTATTTGCACCCTATGATACGTGATGCGCATGGCCGTAAGATGTCAAAGTCTCTGGGAAATGTAATTGATCCTCTTGAAGTAATAAATGGCATATCCCTTGAAGGTCTTCACAAGAGGCTAGAGGAGAGCAACCTGGATGAAAATGAGGTGGCTGTTGCAAAAGCAGGACAAGTGAAAGATTTTCCTAATGGTATTGCTGAATGTGGTGCTGATGCACTTAGGTTTTCACTTCTCTCCTATACAGCTCAGGTTCATATTTCCTTTTACACATTATGTCATCCCCCTGTACCTTTTCCACCAGCTTTAGTTCTTGTTAAGTGACACTGCAACATTGTTTTGTCCTTTCAGTCAGATAAAATTAATTTGGATATCCAACGAGTTGTTGGTTATCGTCAGTGGTGTAACAAGCTTTGGAATGCTGTACGTTTTGGATTGGCCAAACTTGGAGATGATTATGCACCTCCATCAACCATAAATCCAGAGACAATGCCTTTCGGTTGCAAGTGGATTCTTTCAGTGCGGAATAAAGCTATAAAAAAAACTGTGGAGTCCTTGAATTCATATGAGTTTTCAGATGCAGCTGGCACTGTGTATTCATGGTGGCAATATCAGTTTTGTGATGTTTTCATTGAAGTAATCAAGCCTTACTTTGCTGGAGATTGTCTGGCATTTTCCTCTGAAAGGAGATGTGCAAAAGATGCTCTTTGGCTGTGTCTTGAAACTGGTCTACGCTTGCTTCATCCTTTTATGCCATTTCTTACTGAAGAATTGTGGCAGCGCCTACCTGGTGCAAGGGACCTTGCAAGAAAAGAGTCCATAATGATGTGCAAGTATCCATCACCTGTAGAGGTAATTTAATTTAAGTAGCCATGTCTGAGTAAGTTTCATTTAGACCCTAACCCATACTCTCGCAACAACCCACAGAATCAAATATGTTTGTGTTTTCTTATAATTTTTTTATCTAACTTCAAGCTTTTAGAATTTTAATGAATTTTTATCAGTAGTATGCATAGCACCAAAGATCTCTTTTGGCTGGTTAAGTTTAGGTTGGTTATCCTGACAATGAATATCAATGACAAGACATTTGAGTGTTCTTCTTCTTGGAACAGAGTTGGTCAGATGACAGGGTTGAACAGGATATGGATCTTGTAGAGTCAACTGTGAGAAGTCTCAGGTCACTGAGGGCAGAGCTGCTTGCTAAGCAGAAAAACGAAAGGTAAATGAATGTGACATTTTCTTTGTCGATTTGGTTTGGGTTTAATTTCAATCACTTGTCTAAACAGCAGTCATGTTATCAAGGACGTCTAGATTTTAACAATTTTTCTTCTCCAGGTTGCCTGCCCTTGCTTTGTGTCAAACTAATGCTGTAGCTGAAACCATTAGAAGTCAGAAATTAGAGATCTTAACTCTAGCCACTCTATCATCTTTAGAGGTATGACATTTTTTTGGTTGGTTGTATCTTTTTTAATTACTTTGTCAAAGTGGTAAAAATAAGATAAATTGTAATAGCTAATTGTACCTCTCCCTAAGTCTTGGTTATAAGGAATAACTATTTCTTTTGTGTAATGTTTTTATAGTTTGACTAAGGAATGACCACTCCATCCACCCAAACCTAACCGTAAAGTTTTAACATTAAAAGCCTATCCTTTGCCATTAGTAGTGTCAACAACCTCTCCTTCAAATCAACTCATCAAGGTTACACATTTCTTTATCATCTCTTCTTGATCACCATGCCCCTCCCCTGGAGTATGATTCATTATGAGAATCCTGTGAACTTCTCTAACTGATATGAAATGTTGAGTTTTGCAACTGCAGAGATATTGATAGATTTGAGTATACATTTCTTACCATTGACATTTCGAACCAACTAGCTGTTTGCATGCAAAATGCTAAGAGTTTTGCATTCACCCAGATATCAATAGTTGAAGTGGCATGACTGACTTAAGGACTTAAGACACGCATGGTGGAATCCATGTGCATCAAATTTTCACCACTCATATCGTTATTCTTACAGGTTCTCCTTAGTGGAAGAGATGCTGCACCAGATGGGTGTTCGCATGTGAATGTAAATGAAAACCTTGTGGTTTATCTCAAAGTTCATGGAACCCTAAACATGAGGGCAGAAGCTGAACAGAGAAAAATTAAGGGCCTGTTTGCTTCCACAGATGAAATTCAGCATAGAGTGGTTTGATAGTGGTTTGTGAATTGTGGCTGTTGAAAAAAATTAAGGACATTTTGTACATCGTAATCAGAGATTTGAGAATGGTGGGTGAGGCATTCTGAAAAGAAGAGGGTTCGTCTCCTGGCATACAAATCTTTTTTGAAACGTGTAAAAGAAAATTGGTAAATTTGTTTATGGTGGTTCCATTCCATCAATGGATCCATAGGAGAGATGGGGACATTTCCATATCACACCAACTGGAAAAGATTGGTGTTCATTTTGACTTTTATTGGTTTTTCTGTTATTCTTTGCATGATACTACATTCTTAGACCCTGTTTCATCTTCTCTCAGGTATGTACAGACCTGATTTGTCTTCTTCTCAAGATGGATGATCTGTTACGGTTAGTATACAATGAAAATATAGTTTTTGGGATGAGCACAGTCAATCAAATAGTGACAACTGGTTATTTCTACTATTAAGTAGAGAGAAAATACTTTGTTAAGTGGTCATTATATTAAACAAAATTTGAATTCTGCAAATAATTTACTGAAAAAGGTAGCTTCTTGGCCTCTTCTTTATGCCAGGTTAAAAACATACTTGAGAAGCACAGGACAGTTTGCAATTTTTGCTAATTATATTGATTAAGAGACTATACTAATACAGGATTGCTGTTTTGAAGATATCCAATACTCCAAATATGGCCAAGTGATGGACCTCTTGTTATCACAAGTACAGGTATCTCATCTTAGAGAACTCTGTTCAAGCTTGAGCACTGTGCGTTATTTATCTTTGAAGAGTTTGACACAAACTCAGTTTCTTTATTTGTTTTGTTTAGGGGCAACTCTCAGTTCCTTCCACTTCAGTTATGGCTAAATGGACGGGCATGGAAAATTAAGAGGTTTAATTTTTCCTTAGAAATGACTCTTTATTTTGAATGTGAGTTTTTTTTTTCTTTTTTTAATGGAAAAGGAAATCTTATAAACTAGTGATACTGCCCAGCTATGCAGGGGATTTTATCTTAAATTTATATTAAGAAATTTCTTTAGTTTTTTACTCTAGAGTTTTGAGCTATTGAAGCATTCCTAGCTGACAGTAATCCAAGAGGGGGTTAATTGGGTTTTCAAAAGCAAAATGTTGAATACTCAAAAGCAATTGCAAACAAATAAATTAAAGTACAGAAATTGTACTCTAAAAATAACGCAGTTCTCAAACACAAAGTAACTTGGGACAATCGTGCAACAAGTGAATCCATGAAAATTATATTGAAAAGAAAATTCTCATTATCTTCGTTCTTCTCTTATATATTTGATTGATAGTAATTGCAGTACAAATGTTTATTTGCTTTTACATTATATAAATCAGGGAAATTCTGATTTGCATCCTTTCCAACATAATGTAACTCAAAAGACAACATCCAACAATAGACTTTATAACATCAATAAGTGATACAACGTTTCTAGAAACATAGCAAAAAACATTAAGTTTAAGGATTGTTCATTTGCATATAAGCTTCTAAAACTTTATTGTTGCTTCATGCATTAGTCCCAATAATAGAAAGCTTTGCATGCAGCATACATACTTGCATTCGTAATGGCCTTAGGTTGAAATCTTTGGATCCTTTGGTGGGGTGTTAGCAAACTTCCATGTCACTTGATAAAACCTCTCTGATATTCTAGGCCCTGCAACATCTTCTAAGGGCAACGCATCAGAAATCTCCTTCAAATCTTCTTTTGTGAGCTTCACTCCTACAGAAGCAATGTTACTATCGAGATTTTTTACTTTGGTTGTTCCTACAAAGAGTGAAGAAGGATCCATGGTTATATTTTCGCTTGGAATATAACATGGCATTTATAGGATATGCAGTATTGCAGTATGTTAATTGTGATGTTAGATAATTAAGAGAAACTGTTGATTCAAGGTAATGACTAGTAAGTAATTTCTAAACAATAATTTATCCTAAACAATAATTTACTTCCTCTGCCAGAAAACTTGTACAACAGACAAGGAACTGTTAAATAAAACAAAGGATACTAGTCCAGATGATTTGTTACAGCAACAAAGCATCAGATGAAGTTGAGTCTCCCACCAACATGCTTTTTTC